TATATATATTTTGTCAAGCTTTTAGTCTTTTCTCAAAACGTCAATTTTCGTGACATAAAAACTTCTGAAACTAGACCAAACTAAAGCAAGTTCTAGAACGTAGTAATGAGCTCTCTTTAAAGTAACAAAATATATGAGTAAGCAAAATTCTTGGCATAATTAATGAATAAATTAATAATTTTGATATAGAAATAAAAAGAGCTACAAAAAAACATATCTTATTTCAATTTTGCTTATAATTCGTCGATTCGCATGTTATTACTAATTTGTGACAACCATTATTCAAGAACAGCTTGAACAGGAGGATGAGATTTGCTCCTAACTCAAGCTCAGTTTGATGACAAATCTTTGTTCAAGCCTCAGGTAAAGCAGTAGAAATTGGCCCAAAGGTTGTAAGACCAACTTAATAGAATAGCTCAATTTGATATTGTTGGGCTAATTGGTTGGTATTGGGTCCAATTACCCAAGCTCGAAACTGATTCAACCAAAGCAAAACAAATTTACCGTGTCCCATGATACTCCAGTCTAACTATAAATTACCTACTCATCCATGAGTAGTTACTCTCCACTAACGGTTGATGTGGTTTGATCTTATATTAATACATGATTTTTAATTATTAATTTAAAATGTTGAAAATAAAAATGAACGGAAGCCTGGGGGATCAATTTTCTTATTTATTACTTTCTATTCTCATTATATTGTAGTACTTCTTTTTTAAGTAGTTTTTAAGTAATTGGAACCCTTGTAATGCTTTTTCTAAAATTCATACAATCATACTATTAGATAGATACACACAAAAATAAAATCTCCACAATTTCCTCTCCCCAAACAACTAATAACAGAATCTAATGTACATAATAATCAAATCTCCATAAAAGTGGAACAGTCACGAAACTGCTATCTAACTAATTAATTAATTTTACCTCATTAGCCTTGGTTACGTAGATTGGTCGGTGGTTTCCCTCGAACACATTAACACAGAAAAATTTCAGGCTGACCATCAGCATCATCCTTATCCTTGGCCACAAAAGCAAGGCACAAGATGAAATGAGAAATACCCACCACGTTTGCATGCACAGTTTTCACAAACTCGTAATTTGTCCCCTAATACCAATGAAATTTTCCAATATGAAAAGAAGGGTAATGTGAATGTAAGATATATTAAAAATAAATAAATAAATAAAAAATAAAAAATAAAAACTGGACAAGATATTATATCTTTCTCTCTACAAGTCCATATCTATAGAAGTTTCCCATGCCAATATTAGTCAAGATGCTCAAAGAGCTTATTTTGTCCCAAGTTGGGTAATTCTTATTGGTGGACTCTCTCTTCTTTGTTGTTTCAGTTTCAACATTTCAGAAACTCTGTCAATGCTCAAACTGATAAATTAAAATCAAAATTGCAACTAACCCCATAAACTATACATTTTTGTTGTAGATGACCCGATCCGTCACTGTTCCAGTTGGATCCGTCACTGTTCCGGTCGAATCTTACCCCATGTGACGGTCACACGACATACATTATAATTTTAATTAATGACCACATTATAATTTTAATTAATGACCACAGTGCCCTTGTAACTATGAAAAGTCACTAATACCCCTTTTTTGTAACTATTAATCCCACACACAGGCGCGCGCGCACATATAATAGTTTAAAACTAACCATGTTAGGAAAACTATCATAAGGAAAGTATCATTCACATACATCAATTTTGTATATCAGGTTTACAAAATCACATCATTCAAAGTGATTATGCGGTTCTTTAATATCTCAATTCACATACTATATACATCAAATTTGGTTTACACAATCACAAATCATTACGCCCAATAATCACTTTGAATGAAAACCCAAATAAGGTTATTGAATGAATAAAAGAAAAAATAAATTGTAATCTAAAGTTACCTGTAAACCGGGAAAGAAAAAAAAAAAAAAGGGCCGATGACCAACAAAGATGGGAGATTCACACAATCACCGCCGGCTAGGGTTTGAATAACCTGATTCGTGCAATCTAAAAGCTCGAATAGGGTTATATATAGGCACACACACGAGGGACCAAATCATTTGGGTTGGGCTGGGTTTTTTTCAACGTGGGTTGTGCTTCATAAATGTATATATGTATGTGTGTGTGTGTGTATATATATATATATAATAGTTGGTAAATACAACTATTAATGATCTGGGACCAAATCATTTGGGTCGGGCTGGATTTTTAATGATCTGGGTCAATTTTTCACTCTCTCTTCTCCTACGTCTTTGAGGACTCTCTCCTCTCTCTGCTAATCTAATTCTGGTTCATTGGTTCTTCCTTTCTCTCCAATTTTCATGAATATTTGTGGGTTTTGATTGAATTTTAATATAAGATCATAATAGGTGTTTTAATATTATTAATATTAATATTTTCTATTTCTATTTCTATTTATTCTTGTTTTTATCATATATAATTGCATATATTATCCGTGTATCTTGAGGCCGTGGTTTCTTTATTTCTAGATTTTACCTTTCCTGGCTAAGACAAAGATCTCTAGTGCATACATAACCATTATAAAACATTCCATAATATATTTCAATTTAGGAAAAAAAAAAAAAAGAATAAATAGCTGATTTAAAAATAATAAAAAAAAACAAAAAAAAAAATAACCAAAAAAAACTTGCTAGTGTTTGGATACCTATGCAATTTGATAAATTTATTAGATTTTTGGGTAAAGAACAATGACACTTGAGAAGTTTGACATAAAGACATGCATATACGAAAAATAAATTGTAATATGAAGTTACCTGGAAATAATTGGGAGAGGGAGATGGAGAGGAAATCGAAAAAAAAAAAATGGCCGATCAGTGGTGGCCAACAAAGATGGGAGCTTCACAGAATCACTGTCGGCTAGGGTTTGAATCGCCTTATCACTGTTTTACAGAGAGGGGGAGGGAGAGAGGGCTGAGGGTGAGGGCGAGGGCGAGGGCTTGCACGAATGGAATGTTAGGGTTAGGGGTTTGTTGATCGCTCTTTTACAGAGAAGGGGGGAGAGAGGGGGCTGCACGAATGGAATATGAAAGAGGCATTAGGGCTTACAATTAGGTCATTGTAGAAAAGGGCATTTTAGGCAACACATAAAATAAGAAGAAGGGCATTTTAGGTAACACAAATTATAAACAATGATTTTTCATGTGCCACATCAGCTTTTGGGTTAAACCCATTTTAGAGAAACTATGGTGCTTTGACTCAATATATGGGTAAATATAGGCCACTAAGCCCATTTATATGTAAAAATCCCATTTTAACTCTCCCTCCAGGGTGGCTCTCCATAAGTGCATCATGATATCATTGGGAGGTTTTTGGGAGTTTGTCTTGGGAAAGATCTACTCTGATTTTATCTTTATCTCTAAAAGCTTAAATTAATAGATCACTGTGTTTCATGTACACACACTATATATATTAATGCCCCCACCGGAACTCGAACACTCAACCTCTACAAAGGGGAGGAGAACTTATACCATCTAAGCTAGAGCCCATTGGTATGGAATATCCTCATTGCTTCAACTAAGTTTTGGTTGGGTGCTAGTATAATCTAGGTCTACTGCCTTAAATAAAAAAAAAAACCTAATATCCCTGTTGCTTCAACTAAGTTTTGGTTGGGTGCTAGTATAATCTAGGTCTACTGCCTTAAAAAAGACCCTAATATTTCTGAAAAATTAAACTGGTTGGAGCTCCTTTGGAAGCTCTGCTTCCGACTCTCTGGGCTTAGTTAAAGTTTTGAAAGTTGAATGGGGAGCGTTTTGTATAGCACAATTCTTTCTAAGACAACTTCCTCAACAATTTCCATATTGTAGACGTAGATGGAGTCTATTTATGTGATTAGTATGTTAGCAATCATTTTTTTTCTGTACCATATTTTTAAGCCTCTGAATAATTCTGTGTGTAGGTTGCTTCCGTGAATTTCTTTTCTTAGTGGTAGTAAACTTTCAAGTAAGTGGTTCTTATTGCTGATTTAATTTTAGACTTGATGTTGCTTCTTTAAGGTACCAGGTTTGACACAGTTGCAGTATGGTTTTTCTATTCTGTGACGAAAATGGATCTCAATGCAACAGTTTGTTGATGGCGACGATGAGTTCTGTAATAGTAAGATTGAAGCTCATCCCATCAGTTCCCAAGGTACCTATCTCATTTCTTGTAATTTTGGAAGAATGCACAAATTCTAGATGTTAGGACTATGTGAAGCATTCTCTGCAATCACCTTTCCTTCTGATTTTACACACACACATGCACACACTTGCTGTTGATAGGATTGAGAGTAGCTTTTGTTTGTAATCTCAAGTCATGGCTAATTTGTTTCTAATTGGAAGTTGAGCTTTTCCTTTTCCCTCTCTCCGAACATTTATACATGAGAAATTAATAAGGAATTCTAATAGTAAAAATATAGCAAGAAAGGTAACGATTAGTGTAAAAGTTACTTGATTATACAAATAGTGATTAAAAGTTAGAGCTGATTTGAGTTACATGGAAATTAAACACTGTTATGTGGCCTAATATGTAGTATTCAAATTAACAACTTGAATCTTGATATCATGACATGTGAGACATCGAAATGGGATGAAATGTTAGAAAAAACACTAGACGAAATTTGAAATTTCAATTTCTGTGCTGTGATCAGATCAGTTATTAGAATATAATGTCTATCGGATTCAATCTTAGTTGATTATTGGAATTTCTGATACTGTCAGTCCTTCAAACAAAATGAAATGGAATCTAGGTTGAGTGGTGTAGGCCTCACTAGAACGAGTAATTTTTGTGTTTTTATAGATTTATAAGGAATTTGTTTTTCTCAATTATACATAAGTATGAATATGTACTTGTTATTCCTCTATCATTAAAATTACTGTCTGCCACAGTCAGTCAAGGTCTCTCTAGTCACTGACAAACATCACATATTGTTATGTTATTGCATGTGTGTGTGTCTGTGTGTGTATATATATTAGTTAACAAAGGAAAGCGTCCAATAACTCCAACAAAAACACATTATCATTGCAATTCACAAAAATGCTTTCAGCACATAAACTAGAACTCTTTCTAGCCACAAAGCACATTATAATCACATATCAACAGTCTAATACAAACTTAAGTTGCTCTTTGCCAATAAAATCCCCAAAAGCATCCAAAGAAGCCACAGAGCTCATCGGAAAACCACGCTCAAAGCTGCCTCGAACGGTCGCCGCCCGATTTCTGATATCAGCATCTGTCATTAACATTTCTATTCCATGCAAAATATCATCCTTCTTCACCATATCAGCAGGGTATCCCTCAGAAACCATAGTCCCAACTTTGAGATGGCTCACTACTAACTTAGCATTGTAGTATTGATCACCCCTAATGGGCCATGCCAAAAGTGGGACCCCCCGGACAATAGCTTCCACAGTGGAGTTCCATCCACCGTGTGATAGAAATCCACCCGTTGATGGGTGGCTCAGTATCAGCAGCTGTGGTGCCCATCCATGTATTATCAAACCTCTTTCCCCAACTCTGCTGTCTAATCCATGAGGGAAATAACCATCCACAACAGTTGAATCTGAACCGGGTTGACGAGGAGGACCGGGTCTACCGGATCTTTTCTGGATGACCCATATGAATGGCCATTTTGACTCTTCCAATGCATTGGCGAGCTCCGGGTACTCCTCCATACTAGGACCCACTTCACTACCAAATGACACGTAGAACACCGACGCACGTGGTTTCGAATCTAGCCATTTGATTATCTCTTCCTCGGAGTAATTTGAGTCACGCTCGGGTCGGATTTCTCGCTCTTGAAAGACTGAATACACAGTTTGCCAGTATTGATCCGGCAACAATGGCCCGACACCCCAAACCGGTTTCCCAGTTAAATTAGTGATGTAATCAAGAAATGGACGCTCAAGATCATCACAAGTGTTGATCAATATTGCGATCGAGCTCTCCACTTCAGCCACCCAACGAGCTGGCTCACCCGGGAAAGGCGGTCCCCTTGGCCTTTTCGACCCACCATCACGCGGGCCGGTCATGGGTTTTGGACCAACACCGCCATGTGGGGCTGGAAACATCCAATGGCGGCGTTGCTTAAGATCTGAGTACTTTAAGACCATCTCTTCAGGTAACCCGGGAAGCGATCGGATCTCACCCGGTTTCATGTCGTCAGGCTGGACCTTCCAAACCGCATGTTGGATCGCAGCCCAACATGCGCCCGACGTAATAAAAGTAACTGTTGGAACACCAAATTTTGCGAACACTCCTTGGGTCTTAAACATGATATGGTCTATCACGGCACAAGCTGGTCGGGTCGGACTCGAGCTTTCGATTTTGCGGGTAAGGAGACCTTCCAGATTTGAATGCATCTGCTGCTCTTGGGGATGGATTTGGTCAGATCCGGACACTGCCGTGTGCGGTGCAGACCTGGAGAAGTCGGCGATTTCAAAGAGTGGGGATTGCCGGAGAGAGGTGGGCACAGAGGATGATATATCAGAATCAATGATGAGGGTGATCTTGTAATTTCGTGAGACGAGGTGCTTGCAGAGCTCCATGGAGGGGAACAGATGGCCCTGTCCATTTTTTGGAACCACGAAGATCTCAGTTGACATCTTTCTCTCTCTCTAAAATCTCTCTCTAAAAATAGAAGGATTGGGTTGCATCAATGGATAGGTTCAAGGAGGGGTTTTGACTAGTAGGATTGTTAGTCTCTTCTTAGTTAGGAGGTGCACAGAAGGTTTGGTAGGACAAAAGTCAAATATCATATACATCCATAATTTGATTACGGATAGGAGTATACTATTATATCATTGTATACATGGGCTTATTTTATATAGATATATATATATATATATATAAAGAAAACATTCAATAAACAATTAACTCAATGGTATAACATTTTTTACCTTCAAAAAGTAGGGAGGGGTTGGAACCTGGCGTGGCCAACACGCACATGCTAATAATATTGTCCTTGGACTCGAACGCATAACTTCTTTAGGTAGAAATGATTATATTTTTTTTTCGGTAATTAAATGAATATATTATCTAAGTTAATATCTAATGGTAAAATAGAGTTATCTTTGGAGCAGGGGTTAATTTTTTCAAGGTAAAGCCTCAAATCATACAAAGAAATGGGAAATAAATTAAAGTTTTGGCATATTAATTTGTGAGTGAGAAAAGAGTAAAATAAAAAATAAAAGAAAGAAAAAAATTGATCATACATAAAATGAGATTGATGGAGGAGCTAGGACAATAGGATGCCATGTAGTGACAAACTGAGGTGGAGGGTTTGCTTTAATTTTAGGTAAAGAAAGGAAGACAGGCTTGGTTTGCAAGATAAGGGCTTCTTGACAGTGTCTGGATCAGATGAGATGGGGACTCAAGCTGCATAATTTCAGGGTCAATAAGACTACACCTGTGTTTACACCATGTAGGGACCCAAGCTGCTTCATTTGTATCTTATGTCCTGATTTAACTCTTTCCAAGTCACCACTTTTTAGGTTCACTTGGAGAAATATCCTAGAAAAAAATGAAGAAGAAAGGAGGAGGAGAAGTGTCAAAGGTTATTCTTCTGAAGAACATGGTGAAGGAGATATTGTTAAATTGTTAGACAAATACCCTCCAACCTTTTAATATAGTTCATCTAAATTGTTGTTATATATAATTAAGTTTCATTTTTTTTGATTCCTTATACGGAAATATTCTACTATTTAAGAAGTCTAAGCAACAGAAAACCAGAGGGCATAGATAAGTCAAGGAAGAAGACAGTACGTACTATTACCACCATCTCCGAGATAGGCAAGAAAAATGAATCGGTTTCATAACAAGGAGCAGATATATATTCAGTGTGCGCAGTGCACTAAGCACATTAGAACCGTTCGTGAGCAACACGCGCGGGCGAGTTCACACCGAACATGAACGGCTCTGATGGCCTGATGCACCAGGCACGCCAAATATATTCTTCATAAATAAGAGGACACTACTACTATTTATGCTTTTCTATAAAATGAGTAGTTCTTCCTTTTTACTTGGCTCAACTACTAACTTGATCGGTGGAATGTGTTGTCACCTCTCTTGTCTTGCAAAAAACCTCTGGCTTCGGACCGTGTAGATTTTTACTATGTGAGATCAGAAAAATAAAATAAATCTGATCCTACCCGAATGAGATTTGGTAAAATGGGTTCAACACTTTATTTTTTCTTTTTGACAAAAATATTTGAAGGAGGTAAGATCCATTTTTTTTTTCCCCCTGGTTTCACACATCATCATTCATTTTTTCCCTGAACAAAAAATTAGGATTTAGATACCCAAAACAAAAAGGGAAAAAGAGAGAAACATTTGTGAGGATCAAATTTCATTGATTTTTTTTTTCCTCAATAAAAAATCAGCATTTAAATAACCAAAAAAAAAAAAAAAAAAAGGAAAGAAAGAAACAGATCAGATTTTTGGAAAAAAAAAAAAATAAATAAGGGACATAATCTTACGGGAAATCAATTTTTTGAGTTTTGTGTTAATATGTGCGGATCCTTAAATCTAATACATAATCTTTCATGGAAAGTCCCCTTCTAGAAAAAGAACCCTAAATGTATGAAGCAAAAAAAAAAAAAAAAAAAAAAGGAAGGTCATACCTCCTTCAAAAATTCTTGCCAATTAAATGATTTTGTCCAGGACTAGAAGTTTGAGAGGAAGAAAATGGTGGAGAGATAGGGCTGAAGGCGAGAGAACGATGGTTGAATCCCCTTGAAAAAAAAAAAAAAAGAAAAAGAAAAAATAAAATGCTGAACCCACTTTACCTGATCTCATTTGGGAAGAATCTGATTTATTTTATTTTTATGATTTCTTTAATAAAAGGGAACGTGTTTTCTTTTTATTGGACCACATAAGCGGTGAAAATATTATAAATCCTTTGAGGACCTAAGTATTGTCCCTTTTTAAATACATAATTCTCATATTTTTGGTGGCTCTATAGGAACATGAATTCTCATACCGAGAATATACTTTCCCACTCAATTATTAAAAAGTATTATTTCTATTTTAAGTGTGAAGGTGATATTTATATATATATAAATTTTCTTGAGCTTTAAATATATATCTTCTTATTCTTGTTTATTTTTAGTAGGTAAATCATACTCGGTATTTGATAAATTATTGTTTCACTAAAAATTTGAATCTTTAGTTTTCTATTTAAAAGAATAGGAGATGTGTGTGTATTTTTTTTATTTAGAAGTAAGAATATAGCCTTTCAATATAATCTTTTTAATAATCTCTTTCGTTTTAAGGTTGATGTCAATAATAAATCAAATCTAAAATTGAATGTGGAATTTGACATCACGGCTGATACCAGCCACTAGTCCTTTTGCTCCTTAAAATTGACAGGGCGTAATGCTTCATGTGGTACTTCAAAGCTACTTTGGCCCTCTCTACGTGGAACAAAAGTGGAATTAAATAATAATAATAATGATAAATTAAATGTAAAGTACAATTACACTCATGAGTTTGTCATATGGACAACTATATATAAGTGGATTATTTTTTTGGATAATAATATCTGATGGCAGAATAGTTATTTAAATGAGGTCTTAAATGATTTGAAAAGACAAAATTGTCTCTTAATATAAAAATAAATTTTTGTAAAATATTAAACATGTTGAAATGTCGAAATTATCCTTGAATTAATATGAGCTACAAAATGGCGTCAATTTATTGTGCTGAAGTTTATTATTTTCTCGAAAGTATTGTAATATTTTTGATTGCCATGAAATTTTTACCAAAGGTTATTTTGCATGTCTAATTACTCTCTAAAAAAATTTGTAATTTTTGGCCAACCAGACATATTTATAAAAATTTGACAACAACTGATGCCTAAAATTTTTCACTGTTTGAAATCAGATATCTATGAGTCTCACGTTATTGCGTATTCTGTGCATAGAGACCATGGTGTCATATTCTGTGCATAGAGACAAAAATGAAATAGAAAAGATACAAAATCAATAAAAGAGGGTGGAGCTAGGGAGTAGTAAGCGACGAAATGCTTCGGGGGGTTAAAAATAAGCATAGATCCGGAGATTCCTAAATAGGTCAACCTTTCAAACTGCTGCTGAATCCATGGGCAGATCTCGATTTAAGCTGAGCCTATTCTACCATGGAGTCACATACACGTCCATACAAAAAAAGAAGAAGAAGAGATTTTTAAAATTTAATTAATAACTTTTAAGGTTTGTCAAAGTGAGCTCATATAGGTCTCACGTTATTGCGTAATGTGATTGAATTGGGATTGTACCGTATCAGAAATTCACACGTTTTAGTGGCGTACCGACGAGGATCCCAACTTAACGTAGTTATTTGAGGTGCAAACAGAATGTTTGGTGGGACAAAAGGTAATATCATATAACATCCATTATTTGATTCGGGATAGGATTATACTATTATATTATTATATACATGAGTGAAAATGGAGGGCTTATTATTATTTTTTTTCTTTCTATTTTTTTAATTTTATTTTTTTGAGAAATTTTAGCAAAACGTCCACAGAACCAATGAGCTATTATCTCAATGGTATAACCTTCCTTACCTTCAAAAAGTAAGGAGGTGTTCGAGTTTGGCATGATCAACACACACACACACACACTAATAATAAGGACTTGAATATCTAACTTCTCATTTAGGTAGAAATGATTATATCATCTTGGTTAATATCTAATGATAAAATGGGTAGTGGGAATGCAATAAACAAAAGTTTTGATATATTGTGGGTGAGATAAGAGTAGGCTTGATTGAATTGATCATACATAAAATAAAAAATAAAAGAAAGAAAAAAATTGATCATACATAAAATGAGATTGTTGGTGGGACAATAAGGTGCATGTAGTGTCAAACCGGAGTTGAGAAGTGGTAGGGTTTGCTTTTATTTTACGTAAAGAAAGGAAGATTGGCTTGGTTTGTAAGATAAGGGCTTCTTGTTTTAATTGTGTTTGTATCGTAATCCTGTCGATTCGAATTGACATGATAATTAAATATATCGTGCGTGTTCGTGTTAAAAATGGTTCATCTAACTAAACGTATTGAATAAACATGTTGAGTTCATCTCAAAAATAATTTAAACGTGTCTTGTTATGCCATTTCATATTGTGTCAAGTACAGTGACAAATCCAAAAAATTGTATAAAAGGGGGCGAACTTGAACGCTAAGAATATATAGTGAGGTATTATAAAAAATTGAGTGGGGGCGATTGTTCTGTCCGTCCTTGGTCAAGTTTTAACTTATTTATTAAACGGGTTACGCGTATCGTGTCTTGTTATTCGTGTAATAATCGTATCATGTTCGTGTTAGATCAGAATTTTTTAACACAAATAATAATCGTATTGTAATCGTATCAACCTATATAACAGAATACTTATATTCTAACACCCTATACAAAATCGGCCCACTAATACATATTGCCACCCTCGAAAAAGTGCAAACTTCCAAAGGTTCGAGGAAAACATGATGAAGCATGTATTTATGGAGAGATCGTTAAATTGAATGTGGAATTTGACATCATGGTTGACATCAGCCGCCAGTCCTTTTGCTCCTTGAAATTAGACAGGGCGTTTTGCTTCACATGGTACATCAAAAGCTATATTTGCCCGCTCACACGCATTATAATCCATCTCTCTTCTTTCACATGATGCAGATAATTTTTTACTTGGGTTAGGTGATGGTCCACATTTTAATAATAATAGTAAAAAAAAGAGTGTTTGACTATGAAAAAAAAAAAAAAAAAAACAAGCGAAACTATTTAGTACTGTGTAGTTAATCAGTATAAGGAAACATTTTTTTTACAAATTAATGTTCGCAAACCTGAGCTGCTTTTTGAATCTGTATTCTATTAGAAGTCTACACATGCTAGAGTTTAACAAAACAAATTTTAAAAAGGTTAAAAATGAAAATTCAAAATTTGTTGGTTTTCGTTATCTCTTTTATCTTCTTCCTAATTATGGGTGCATGCATTAAAAAAAATAAAGTAAGGAGGAATGAAACAATCCTCATTAATGATTCCTTTCCCTTTTCTTTCCCCTTCAACCAAACACAAAAAACTTCACTCATTCCTTCTCTCTTCTCTCACTCATCAATCCTTCCCTCTAATCAAACAAAGCATTAAGAATGATGACGTCTTTATGGAGTGATCATAATTTTTTGAACGTTAGTCACCTCATATCTTGGTAAAACTCAAATTTGAACAAGTAGATTGTAAAAATATAGGGACCATTGAGTCACATACAATATCACACAAAGGAAACAATATGAAAATTAAATAAACATGTTTCACTCACCATATGCAAGAGGGGACTAGTAATATAATTGTAGTAGATCCCTCGTTATTTCACTATGTGCCACAATTACAAACTACCATGTAAACTATCTTTTTATTTGAAAAAGCTTTGGACAAAATGGACTTGTAACATAAGCTTGTCAATTACTATTTAGGTTGCTTTTTGACTAATAAAATCCTGAAAAGCATCCAAAGCAGCCGCGGAACTCGCCGGAAAACCACCCTCGAATTTGCCGGCCAACGGTCTGGCACGTCTTTGAACCTCTTCATCAGCCATCAGCTTCTCAATTCCTTCCATGATAGCCTCCTTCTTAACCATCTAATCACCGGTAGACACCAAGTACCCCACCTTAAGGTGGCTCACCACCAACTTGGCATCATAGAATGGTCACCCTTAATGGGCCACGCCAAAAAGGGGACCCCACGTCCGATCGTCTCCACTGTACATGGAGTTCCATTCACAGTGTGATAGAAATCCACCCGTTGATGGGTGGCTCAGTATCATCAACTGTGGTGCCCATCCTCGTATTATCAAACCCCTGTCTCCAATTTTAATTACCTTCCAAGCCATGAGGGTAGTAACCTTCTTCCATGGCATTTGAACCGGGTTTGTCACCCAACATGGCACGGGGTGGACCATGTCTACCTGAACCCGGTTGAATCACCCAAATAAATGATCCGGTCCACTCCTCCAATGCTTTTGCTAATTGGGCATATTCTTCTAAAGTTGGCCTAACTTCACTTCCAAATGACATGTAAAGGACAGACCCATGTGGCTTTGAATCTAACCATTGGATCACTTCCTCTTCTGTGTAATTTGCTTGGCGTTTTGGTCCGATCTCGCAATCGCTAAGGACTGAATCGGCCAAGCTCCAATACTGTTCCGGCAATAGCGGTCTAACACCCCACACTAGTTTCCCAATTTGATTCGCCACGTAGTCAATGAACAGACGCTCCAGATCATCACATGTACTGATTAACAACGTGATTGAACTCTCAATTTCATCCACCCACATTGGCCTTTGACCCAGTCGGTGAGGCCCGAATTTCATCCCTCCCAGCGGTCGGGGTAATTGGGCAGCTGGACCGCCCGGTCCTGGTGGACCACCTTTACCACCCATATGTGGAGGCCTGTAAGGCTATGTACCCAACCTTGAGATGGTCCCCCACCAATTTGGCATAATAGAAAAATTTCAAGCTAAACGTGTCTTGTCGTGTCATTTCGTATTGTGTCAAGTCCAGTAACGAATCCAAAAAATTGTATAAAAGGGGGCGAACTTGAACCACAAGAATATATAGTGGGGTATTATAAAAAATTGAGTAGGGGTAGTTATCCCCACTGGGCCTTAATAAGTCCGTTTCTGGCCAAGTTTTGATTCATTTATTAAATGGGTTGCACGTATCGTTTCTTGTTATTCGTGTAATAATCGTGTCATATTCGTGTCAAAATTTCTTGACACGAATAATAATCTTATCGTGTTCTTATCGACCTATATAACAGAATACATATACTCTGATATGATACAAACATGACCCACTAATACATATTGCCACCCTAAAGAAAGTGCAAACTTCCAAAGGTTATTCTCCTAGAAAACATGGTGAAACAAGTATTATGGAGAGATCGCTAAATTGTTAGACAGATTCCCTCCAACCGTTTGATATGTAGTTCCTAGTTCCTCTAAATTGTTGTTATAAATAATTAAGTTCATTTTTTAATGATTACCTTCTTCTTCTATTTTTTATATTCCAAATACATAATTCCAATACTCGTAGTGCCTCTATATAGGAAGATGAATCCTCAGACCAGCTCTATACTTTCCACTAAATAAATAAGCTATTAAAAAGTGTTATTTCTATTCTTCGTGGAAAGGTGATATTTGCATATACAAATAATTTCTTCGGCTTTAATTATGTGTCTTCTATCTCATTTTTATCAACAGTTAAATCACACTCGCCTATTTGATAAATTATTATTTTACTAAAAACTTGAATCTTTAATTTTTTTATTTAATAAGAAGAGATGTGTGTATATTTTTTATTATTATTATTATTTTTTTAAGAAGTAAGAATATTGCCTTTCAATATAATCTTGTCAAGAATCTCTTGTGTTTTATGCTATGTTCGATAGGAAAGAAAAAAGTTGGATGGAATGGAAGGAAAAAGGGATGGGTAATAATATTCTTAGGAAGAGATTGCGTTTTTCTTTTTTTTTATTCAGTTGGATAAAGAGAAGAGAATAAACTAATAATTTACTATTTTTGGTAAAAGAGAAAAAAGTTTTAATTATTTTTTTTATTATATTCAATAATATTTATAATATTGTAATTTATAAAGGATAAAATTATAATTTAAAATTTATATAATTTAAGATAGTATTTAATTTAAATTTTTTATGAGAAGTCATTTGTCTATATCATCATTCGTATTTTACTTTCTTTCTTTAGAACAAAAGAAATTCAATCTCTCCTTCATATTTTTTCTTTTCACCTCCACCTTCATTCCTAAGGAACATACCACAAGGTTGATGCCGACGAAGAATCAAAACTAAAATTGAATGTGGAATTTGACATCATGGCTGACATCAGCCGCTAGTCATTTTGCTACTTGAAATAGACAGGCCGTTATGCTTTTTCACATGGTACATCAAAAGCTACTTTCTCACACAATATATAATCCATCCCTCCATCTCTCTTCCTTATCATGTCTGCCATTAGCGTTGTGGAAAAAAAGTAGAATTTGAGTTTAACCACAAACCACCCCCCCCCCCCCCCCCAACAAAAAAAAAAAACATAAAATAAAATAAAACACAGACTCCACCACCTTTGTAAGTAATTCCGTCGGATAATATTTCTCTTCGTCTTCCTTTCCTTTTAATAGAAGGTCAAAATTTTAAATTTTCGTAAAAACTATGCGAGTGTGCGAGTAGGGAAAAAAAAAAAAAAAAATTACACCTAGGTAAAATTGAAGCCTTTTAAAGTTAGTTCAACTCTAGACCCTTATGTTTCATTTGATTAGAGGGATGCAAAAATGAAAAGAAAGGATATGAGAAAGAATAGATAAGGCATTCATAGGGATAAGAAAATGTCTCCCTCATTTTTTGTTTGGTTAGATAGAATGGATAGTAAAAAGGATGAATGAGGTAACACTATTTTTTTATTTGGTTGGATTTTTTTTGTTTGGTTGGAAAAAAAGAAAAACTAATTTTATATTATTTTTACCAAAATATTTCATTATAAAAAATTATAAAAATTATATATCAATTTCAAATTATGCCATAACAATGTGCATCCACAGGGATGAGAAGATTTCTCCATCACTTTTTATTTGGTTAGACGGAATAGATAGTAAAAATGATGAATAAGGTAATATTATTTTTTTTGTTTGGTTGGAAAAAAAGAAAAACGAATTTTATATTATTTTTACCAAAATATCTTCATTATAAAAAATTATAAAAATTATATATCAATTTCAAATTATGTCATAACAATGTGCAGATAATTTTTTACTCGGGTTAGGTGATAGTCCACATTTTAATAATAATAGTAATAAAAAGAATGTTTGACTATGAAAAATGGAAAAAAAGAAAAAGATAAAAGATATTTTTTTAAAAAAAAAAAGAAGATAAAAAGGCATAGATAACGTAAACTAGTGAAACTATTTTAGTACTGTGTACTTAATCAGTATAAGGAAACATTCTTTTTACAAATTAATGTTGGCGAACCTGAGTAGCTTTTTGAATCTATATTCTATTAGAAGTCTACACATGCTAGAGTCTAACAAAACAAAATTTCAAAAAGGTTAAAAATGAAAATTCAAAATTTGTTGGTTTCTGTTTTCTCTATCTATCTTCTTTCTAATTATGGACAGATAAAAAAATACAAAGTAAGGAGAGATGAAGTATTCCTCATTGATTTTTTCTCTTTTCCTTTCCTTTCAACTAAACACAAAAAACTTCACTCATCCCTTCTCTCTTCTATCACTCATCAATCCATTCCTCTAATCCAACAAAGCATTAAGAATGACGACGTCTTTATGGAGTGATCAAAAATTTTTGAACTTTAGTCATCTCACATCTTGGTAAAACTCAAATTTAAGATTGTAAAAATAGGAACCATAGAGTCACATACAAGAGAATACAAAGGAAACAACATGCAAATTATATAAACAGATTTCACTCACCATATGCAAGAGAGGACTTGTAACATAAATGTAGTAGATCCCTCGTCATTTCACTATGTGTCACCGTTACAAATTACCATGTAAACTATCTTTCTATTTGAAAAAGCTTTGTACAAAATGGACTTGTAACATAAGCTTGTCAATTATTATTTAGGTTGCTTTTTGACTAATAAAATCTCGAAAAGCATCCAAAGCAGCCGCGGAACTTGTCGGAAAACCACCATTGAATTTGCCGGCCAACGCTTCGGCACGTCTTTGAACCTCTTCATCAGCCATTAGCTTCTCAATTCCTTCCATGATAGCCTCCTTCTTAACCGTCTGATCACCGGTGGACACCATGTACCCCACCTTAAGGTGGTTCACCACCAACTTGGCATCATGGAATTGGTCACCCCTAATGGGCCACGCCAAAAAGGGGACCCCACGTCCGATCGCCTCCACTGTGGAGTTCCATCCACAGTGTGATAGAAATCCACCCGTTGATGGGTGGCTCAGTATCATCAGCTGTGGTGCCCATCCTCGTATTATCAGACCCCTGTCTCCAATTTTACCTTCCAAGCCATGAGGGTAGTAACCTTCTTCTGTGGCATCTGAATCGGGTTTGTCACCCAACATGGCACGGGGTGGACCGTGTCTACCTGAACCGGGTTGAATCACCCAAATAAATGATCCAGTCCACTCCTCCAAAGCTTCTGCTAATTGGGCATATTCTTCTAAAGTGGGCCCAACTTCACTTCCAAATGACACGTAGATGACAGACTTACGTGGCTTTGAATCTAACCATTGGATCACTTCCTCTTCCGTGTAATTTGATTGGCGTTTTGGTCTGATCTCACGATCGCTAAGGATTGAACCGGCCGAACTCCAATACTGTTCTGGCAATAGCGGTCCAACACCCCACACTGGTTTTCCAATCTGATTTGCCACGTAGTCGATGAACGGACGCTCCAGATCATCACAAGTGTTGATCAACAACGCGATTGAACCCTCGATTTCATCCACCCACATTGGCCTTTGACCCGGTCGGGGAGGCCCAAATTTCATCCCTCCCTGCGGCCCGGGTAATTGGGCAGCTAGACCGCCCGGTCCTGGTGGACCACCTTTACCACCCATATGTGGAGGCCTGTGAGGACGCTGTTTGATATCCGAATAAGTCATGGCCATGTCTTTCGGTAACCCAGGAAGCATCCGGATCTCACCCGGTTGTATATCATCCACATGGGCCGTCCATGCCGCGAATTCCATGGCTTCAGCGCACGCACCGGAGGTGAAGAAAGAGATGGCCGGAATGTTGAATTGGGTGAAGATTTCTTTGCTCCAGCTCTCCATGACGTCAAGCACGGCTAACACGGGTCGGGTAAAACCCGGGTTGGGAAACCGGGTCTCTAAAAGGACCTTGATGCCTTCACCCATTTGTTGGCGGCGATGGTGAAATGGGTTAGTTCCGGGTCCGGGTCCTGCTGCCATTGAGGGCAGAGGAGGTGGTGGAGAAGAGGCGGCTGTGATTTCAGCGATTTCGATAAAAGGATGGTGGCGGAGGGAGGAGGGGATAGAGGAGGAGAGATTGGAGGAGATGATGAGGGTGGTCTTGTAGCTGCGGGTGGAGAGTTGCTTGCAGAGCTCCATGCAAGGGAAGAGATGGCCCTGCCCAAAGGCTGGTACAACAAAAATCTCACCAGTAGCTTCCATTTTTGGTGTATTGACTATTTGATTTGCTGTGATGAGATTATAATAATGCATCTATAGATGGTTTTATAGATGAAAGGAGAGGGATTGAGAAGAAGAAAGAAGAAAGAAGAAAGAAGAAAACTTAGATGCGAAGGAATGAATTTTAGCGAGAGGGTTGACAGTTTGGTGAAGAAGTTGTGACTGATTTGAAAAACTGCGTGTGTATATATATATTTAATAATTTGTCGCCAAAATGCATACATATATATGTGCGCGCGCCGTGTGGAGTAATTCTTGGACCGTGTGCCGTGTGGGAGTAATTGTGGGACGAAAAATATAGATGGATTTGTTTTTAAGACTTGGGCAGAGGAAATAATTTTCTTAAACTAATTTTTTTTTTTATAATTTCATTATCTCAAAATCATTCTTAAGTTATTTTTCTATTATCATTTAAAGGATAGTTAAGTAATTAGATCACTTACTAAAGAGTTAGATGATAGAAAGGGAATAATTTGTAGATTTTTATAATTTAGGAGAAATTTTTTAAGTTTAAGAGGTTATTTGTAAATGCATAATAATTCAATTATTATTATTATTAATTTTTTTTTTGTTTCTAGTCTCTTTCTTCCAATTTCCGACATACTCGAATGTGTTTGTATATAGGAGTAATATTTCTGCCTGAATTGAGTGAAAACTTATCAATATGCTTTTGTCATAACTCATTACAAAAGTCAGACTTGGGTGTGAACGAGTTGAAACTCATCAATAAATCAATAAACTTTTGTCACAACAAAAGTGAGACTTCTGGTCTTGACTGGAAGCTTATCTATAAACATTTTACATTTGTCACAGCAAATGACCGACAAGAAACAAAACATGAAAAAAAAAAACGGATTTTACATTTCATTGTTAGTACTACTAATTACGGAATAATAAATCCTAATCTTTTGCCATTAGAATTTTCCAAGCGCACTATTTCATACAACTGATATCTAATTTCTTGTGGTGTATATATATAGGGTATATATTATAATTCGCAGTCATGGTACCGTTTGTGGTAACGATCGTAATCGCGTTATAACGAATTCGAACAAATTTCGATATAAACGGCCAAACTAACCCGTTTGTGGAAGTGTGTAACGGTATCGAACTCTTGAAAAAACATGTTACGAACCAACCGATACATTGCGAATCGATTGATACAGCGAATCATGAATATATATATTAATCTTGTGTCAAATTTTAGCATTTTAGGGAAAAGAAATGGGACACCTAGCTAATTTGGTTTTGACAACAATAATATGTACAATATCTATTTGGAATTTTCTTAATGGGGAAGCCATCCAGAACTACTACTAAAACACAACACTTGCACAACCCTCAAATGGCAGCCAAATTTCAAAGTTTAGATCTCATACGCTATTCACATGAATGCATTATTGTACAACTAAAAAATTCAGTCATTCAACCTAGCAGTTTTTTGGCTAAGAAAAACACTAAAAGCATCTAGAGCTGCCTCGGACCTCGCCGGAAAACCACTCTTGAACTTGGCGCAATTTGTGATTGTTCGTTTTCGCACCTCCTCATCACCCATGAGCTTCTCCATCCACATTACGTAAAGCTCGAAGTGTAGCTTTGATCTAAATTTTTCATAGAAAGATATTAGAGAGAGGAGATGGAGAGAGTATGGTGCCATTCTTTTTTCCCAAAAGAGGAATCTTAGCCATCTCCTTCCCCTTCAAGAGACGTAATAAGCAAAAGTGATTAGAGAAATTAACAATAGTAATCAATAATATATGTTTACCCCATTATTTTTGGCCCAATGTAAAGGCGACATGTGGCAAGTTTCAACGAGCTTGCTACGGTGGGTTGGTGCTTTAAATGTCTAAAAGAGGAAGCATAATATGGAATTGCTGAAAATTGATTTTGTGTTATCCAGCAATAAAGGAGAAGTATGTGGCGATTTCTAATGAAACTTACCACGCTGAATCACAACTCTAATAAGTTATTTTGGAGTAGTAGAAGCTGTGTAATATTAAGCAATAATTGAAATCAAAGACAAGTGGATCAATACAATCCTACCATGTGGAGTTTTCTATTTTAAAAGGAAAGAGAAGAGTCTTATTAGGACTTGTCATCTTTAAAATAAGGGCCCACATATTCCTATTTGGAAAGAGGAATTATGGCATGGAAATACTACCATGAATGCAACCTTATGCAATTTTTCAAGACAAAGTCAACCAATTGGCTCTCGATACAAGGCAAGTTCTATGGGACTTACCACGGTTTATCAATTCCTTTAGGAATTGTTGTTATAGAAGGTTTTGTGTTTCCAAAAGAATCCCAAGTAAATGAAGAATTGCCAAAATTGGTAGGACTGAAGTTGACCAAGTCAAAAGAAGGAGAACGTGGGGTTGGATTTTCTCCTTATTTTTAGGAGGCTTCAACAGCTATTTTCACTAAGTCAACTACATTTGCTAAAGAAGAGGGAAGTTACGTAATGGCAAGTATATATATTTTTGGATATATATATGTGTATGTGTGTGTGTGTATATATATGTATATATACTGGAATACTACCCATGAACTCCAAACCTAGAAGAAAAGTCTCAAGAAGGGAAGTTACCAAAATCCAAGGGAACGTGGTTGGTAAAAGATTGTGGGCAATGATGTATATATTTTACCCATGAAGAGAAAAAATCACTGAAGTCTTGGGGCCATGACATATGAAACAAAGACCAGAAAGGAAAGTTTAACTGGAAGGAAGTTACCCAAAGCCGAGGAGAACGTGGTCGGCAAACAACTTCTATATACATGCATGATATATATATATATATATATATATATATATATATATATATATATATAGTGAAATGGATTCTATAGAAGGAAAAGACTACGAAGAACGTGGGACACTTAGCCAAATATGAACACTTCTGTTGAAAATGGTTGTGCTTTATTTTATGCAATAACTATCACTAATTGAGGAAGCTGTTGAAGGTTATGGATGACAAGGGTTAAATCAGTGGAATCATGGTCTGAAATAAAGGAGAAGACCATGCATAAGAGAGAAGACCAAGGAAGACATGGAACACGTGGCACGATCCGGACCTTTCAAGTTGAAGTTCTCAAATGCTGCTGGAAACTACTGCCTTTCCATCTGGGCAGTACCAAAACATGGGTAAAGGCTTGCAAGCATGCATTCAACCACTAAGACCACTATTTATCAATTGTAAATCATGGGAGAATATGATTTTACACTTATCAACATTGAGAAAAGGCTAAGGAAGACATGAGACACGTGGCAGTCTGAAGAAAAGCCACGTGGAAGCTACTGAAACTTCCACATCAAGCTGCTGCATACATGAAGAATTCTATAAATAAAGCACTTAGGCCTAGAATAAAATATTTTCTCAAACACTGCTCAAAGCCCAGCCTGCTCAACGCTGCTCAAAGCCATGCTATATCAATACACCAACACAACGCTTTTTCTATGAGGCTTGATTTTAAAATATAATAAAATATTTTACTATATTTTAATATTCTTCTGAGCATATATTTTACTATTTCTGTGAGGCTTGATTTTAAATCATTAACCTTTTAAAATTTTGTTTAGGATATTGTTCCCCTCGCGAAAAAGCGTTGGTTCCACTTTCCGAAATGTGTGGTGGAATGGATAGAATAGTGGAGGTGTGCGGGTGTGCCAGGAACTGCTGTCGTTCAAAAGTGGATATCTAAACAATAATCTAGTTGGAGATTTATAGGGATCAAGCGATTGTACGAAGATCTAGAATGACTACCTTCGAAGGGTCTTTTTTGCCTTTGAAAAAGGACTTCGGGACTATTCTATGGCTAAGGGAAATGAAAATGGTATTGAAGGTGCAAGGCTAGAAATTAAAGTGCAAGACTGGAAACTGAAAGATATGCAAATGCAGTGCTCGGCCGGAAATAACAAAAGGAGTGTTGGACTTAACTCGAGCATTTTGAGAATTCATTGCTAAAATGAATGCTATATGGAATAGCAAAGTGTTGGACTCAACTTAAAAGAATGTAAATTCATTACTGGAATGAAAAATACATGAACTAGCAAAGTGCTAAGTTTAGACATAATGTAACTTCATTGCTGAAATAAAAGATACATGAAAAGCAAAAATGCTTATGTTGGTGTATTGATATAGCATGGCTTTGAGCAGCGTTAAGCAGGCTGGGCTTTGAGCAGTGTTTGAGAAAAGATTTTATTCTAGGCCTAAGTGCTTTATTTATAGAATTTTTCATGTATGTAGCAGCTTGATGTGGCAGTTTCAGCAGCTTCCACGTGGCCTTTCCTAAGACTGCCACGTGTCCCATGTCTTCCTTAGCCTTTTCTCAATGTTGACAAGTGTAAAATCATGTTCTCTTATGATTTACAACTGATAAATAGTGGTTTTGATAGTTGAATGCATGCTCACAAGCCTTTACCCATGTTTTGGAACTGCCCATATGGAAAAGCAGCAGTTTTTAGCAGCAGTTGAGAACTTTCACTTGGAAGGTCCGTATCGTGCCATGTGTTTCATGTCTTCCTTAGTCTTCTCCCTCATGCATGGTCTTCTCCTTTATTTCAGACCATAATTCCACTAATTTGACCCTTGTCATCCATAACCTCCAACAGCTTCCTCAATTAGTGATAGTTACTGCATAAAATAAAGTACAACCATTTTCAACAGAAGTGTTCATATTTGGCCAAGTGTCCCACATTCTTCGTAGTCTTTTCTTTCTATAGAATCCATTTCCCTATATATATATATATATATCATACATGTATATAGAAGTTATTTGCCGACCACGTTCTCCTCGGCTTTGGGTAACTTCCTTCCGGTTAAACTTTTATTTCTGGTCTTTGTTTCATACATCGTGGCCCCAAGACTTCAGTGATTTTTTCTCTTCATGGGTAAGATATATATAAGTAAATATCCAAAAATATACATCATTGCCCACGATCTTCTACCAATCACGAGATTTTGGTAACTTCCCTTCTTGAACTTTCCTTCTGGGTTTGGAGTTAATGGCGCCATGTACTCCTTTATTTTAACAGCCTTCTCATCGTGGGTAGTATTCCAGTATATATATATACACACACACATATATATATCCAGAAATATATATACTTGCCATTACGTAACTTCCCTCTTCTTTAGCAAATGTAGTTGACTTAGTGAAAATAGCTGTTGAAGCCTCCTAAAAATAAGGAAAAAATCCAACCCCACATTCTCCTTCTTCTGACTTGGTCAACTTCAGTCTTACCCATTTTGGTAATTCTTCATTTACTTGGGATTCTTTTGGAAACACAAAACCTTCTATAACAACAATTCCTAAAAGAATTGATAAACCATGGTAAGTCCCATAGAACTCGCTATGTGTGGAGAGCCAATTGGTTGACTTTGTCTTGAAAAATTGTATGAGATTGCATTCATGGTAGTACTTCCATGTCATAATTCCTCTTTCCAAATAGGAATATGTAGGCCCTTGTTTTAAAGATGACAAGTCCTAATAAGACTCTTCTCTTTCCTTTTAAAATAAAAAACTCCACATGGTATGATTGTATTGACCTACTTGTCTTTGATTTCAGTTACTGCTTAATATTACACAGCTTCTAATACTCCAAAATAACTTATTAGAGTTGTGATCCAGTGTGGTAAGTTTCATTCGAACTCACCACATACTTCTTCTTTATTGCTGGATAACACAAAATCAACTTTTATCAATTCCATACTATGCTTCCTCTTTTAGACATTTAAAGCACCAACCCATTGTGGCAAGCTCGTTGAAACTCGCCACATGTCGCCTTTACATTGGGCCAAAAATATTGGGGTAAACAAATATTATTGATTACTATTGTTAATTTCTCTAATCACTTTTGCTTATTACATCTCTTGAAGGGAAGGAGATGGCTAAGATTCCTCTTTTGGAAAAAAAGAATGGCACAATACTCTCTCCATCTCCTCTCTCTAATATCTTTCTATGAAAAATTTAGATCAAAGCTACACTTCGAGCTTTACGTAATGTGGGCCAAAAAGATTGACTATTTGATTTGCTGTGATGAGATTATAATACTGTATCTATAGATGGTTTTATAGATGAAAGGAGAGGGATTGAGAAGAAGAAAGAAGAAAGAAGAAAGATGAAAACTTAGATGCGAAGGAATGAATTTTAGTCGGAGGGTTGACAGTTTGGTGAAGAAGTCGTGACTGATTTGAAAAACTGCGTGTGTATATATATATTTAATAATTCAGACGTGTGTCACCAAAATGCATACATATATATATATATGGGACCGTGTGCCGTGTGGGAGTAATTGTGGGACGAAAAATATAGATGGATTTGTTTTTAAGACTTAAGCATAGGAAATAATTTTCTTAACTAATTTTTTTATTTATAATTTCATTATCTCAAAATCATTTTTAACTTATTTTTCTATTATCATTTAAAGGATATTTAAGTAATTAGATCACTTACTAAAGAGTTAGATGATAGAAAGGGAATAATTTGTAGATTTTTATAATTTAGGATAAATTTTTTAAGTTTAAGAGGTTATTTGTAAATGCAGAATAATTCAATTATTATTATTATTATTATTATTGTTTCTAGTCTCTTTCTTCCAATTTCCGACATACATAAAGAATGTGTTAGTATATCGGAGTAATATTTCTGCCTGAATTGAGTGAAAACTTATCAATATGCTTTTGTCATAACTCATTACAAAAGTCAGACTTGGGTGTGAATGAGTTGAAACTCATCAATAAATCAATAACGTTTTGTCACAACAAAAGTGAGACTTCTGGGTCTGACTGGAAGCTTATCTATAAACATTTTACATTTGTCACAGCAAATGACCGACAAGAAACAAAACAAAAAAGAAAAGAAAAAAAAAATCCGATTTTACATTTCATTGTTAGTACTACTAATTACGGAATAATAAATCCTAATCTTTTGCCATTAGAGTTTTCCAGTCTGATTAAGCGCACCATTTCATACAACTGATATTTAATTTCTTTTGGTGTATATATACGGAGTATATATTATGGTTCGCAGTCATGGTATCGTTTACGATAACGATCTATATAATGAATTCGAACAAATATCCATGTAAACGGTCAAACCAACTGGTTTATGAAGGTGTGTAATAGTATTGAACCCTTAAAAAAAGTTACGAACTAACTCATACGTCGCGAATCGATTGATACGGCAAATCATGAATATATATATTAATCTTGTGTTACATTTTTGCATTCTAGGGAAAAGAAATGGGATACCTAGCAAATTTGGTTTTGACAACAATAATATGTACAATATCTATTTGGAATTTTCTTAATGGGGAAGCCATCCAGAACTACTACTAAAACACAGCACTTGCACAACCCTCAAATGGCAGCCAAATTTAAAAGTTTAGATCTCATACACTATTCACATGAATGCATTATTGTACAACTAAAAATTTCAGTCATTCAACCTAGCTGTTTATTGGCTAAGAAAAACACTAAAAGCATCTAGAGCTGCCTCGGAACTCGCCGGAAAACCACTTTTGAACTTGGCGCAAAGTGCGATTGCTCGTTTTCGCACCTCCTCATCACCCATGAGCTTCTCTATCCCTACCAATATAACAACCTTTCTAATCATTTCCGACGAGTCTCCGGCCGAGGCCATGTACCCAACCTTGAGATGGTCCACCACCAATTTGGCATTATAGATTTGGTCACCCCTAATGGGCCATGCCAAAAATGGTACCCCACGCCCGATCGCCTCCACCGTCGAGTTCCACCCACAATGCGACAGAAATCCACCGGTGGACGGGTGGCTCAGTATCAGCAATTGTGGTGCCCATCCCCTTATTATCAAGCCTCTCTCACCAACCTTACCATCTAGTCCATGAGGAAAGTATCCTTCATTGTCACCTGATTCATTCGGACCAGGACCTCCTTTTGACAAACCCGAACCCGGTTGAATGACCCAGATGAATGGACACATGGCATCTTCTAAAGCTCCAGCCAATTGTGGGTACTCATCCATTGCGGGACCCGTTTCGCTACCGAATGCCACGTAGAGAACCGATCCACGTGGCTTCGAGTCTAGCCAATGGATCAACTCGTCTTCAGTGTAGTTGGTTTGGCGCTTTGGTTGTCGAATCTCACGGTCACGAATCAGTGAATCGGACGACTGCCAATACTGGTCGGGTAAAAGTGGGCCCACACCCCACACTGGCATTTCCATCTGATTAATCATGTAGTCAATAAACGGACGTTCTATATCATCACACGTGTTGAACATTAGACCAATCGAGCCCTCAATCAATGGGACCCACGGTGGCTGGCTGCCCGGTTTAGGACCGCCACCACCTCCGCCCGGCGGACGAACCGGACCGGACTTTTCAGGCGGCGGAGGACCACGTGGCCGGCCTTTGATATCAGAGTGGGTCACGCGCATCTCCTCCGGCAAGCCGGGAATCGTACGGAAGTCGCCGGGGTTCAATTTTCCGGCGTCGGCCTTCCACGCGCCCCACTCCATTGCGGCGGCACACGCGCCGAACGTGAAGAAGCTGATCACGGGGATGTCGAATTTCCAGAAGACGTGTTTGGTCCAGCCCATTTGGAAGTCGATAACGGCGCAGAGTGGGCGGGCCGAGTCTGGGCCAGTGAGCCGACTGGTGAGGTGGGCCTCGAGATCCAGCTGGATCTGTTGGCGGGTCGCGTCTGATCCGGGCATAGGAGGGCCGCCGGAGATGGAAGAGATGAGGACGGTGGCGAGGTGGGGGTGGTGGAGGAAGGAGGAGGGGACGGAGGAGGAGAGGTTGGAAGGGAGGACGAGGGTAGAATTGTAATTTCGAGAGGAGATATGCTTGCAGAGCTCGATGCATGGGAAGAGATGACCTGATCCAATAGATGTAACCACAATGATCTCACCTCTTGCCATCTTCAGTCGAAAACAATGTCTCTTTGTTTACTGGTTCTTCAGATTTTGTAGTGTTTATTGGAAAATTTTATAGGATAGTGGGGAGGAAGGTTTGTTGGGATGGGACCGAATTTATCTTTAGATACTTTTACCATTCAATCCTTTCCACTGTTATGATTATAAATAATTTTCTTTTCTATTACTACGTAGGAGTATTATAAATAACTTTCTTTTATATTACTACCTATTATATTTATATTATATGGCCAAAGGATTATCAAGATTTCCAGTCGACACTATGAACATCAGAACGTAAATACATTTACATTAGACTCAAATCAAATTTTAAAGTTGATTCAGTTGATAAATTATTCATTACAATTGTTGTCACAATGACATAATGCAATGAATTATTACAAAATTTTTATCAAAGCAAAGTGAACCTATAATATAATTATAAAGTTAATATATGTGCTTAATTTGGTTTGTAGGAGTCAATTGCGTCATTGATACAACAATTGTAATGAATAATGTGTTATTTGTTTATAAGTTAAGTTGACTAAAGGTTATGAAAAGATAGAATATATATATATATATATATATATAAAACTGGATTTAGCATTGTGATAATTAAGTGAATATTATTTAAAGACTTGAGCAATGCACTAATGCTCACATGAGAGTTCCCGTACCGAGCTCTCTACTTTAATCAATTAATTAAAAGATATATTAAAATTTAAATTTTTATAAAATATTAAAAAAATGTCTAAAAGTTAAATTGGTGTAGTATATGCATTTAATATTTTTCCTTGTATATATTACTGTAATTGTTATTTGCAATTAAAAATATATTTTTCCTTTGATGTATACTTAATTTTATTTCTTATATTTGTAGATTTTATGTTTAAGTTATGGTCATGGAAGAGATAATTATTAATATTGAAGAAATAGATAGCGAAAGAGGATGAACCAGAAGAGAGAATTATTAATATTGTAGGTTTTTCTTTGATTCTTCGCAATACCTTTTTTTCTTAGCCATTCACTGATTTGGAGGCAAGAAGATGAGCCAGAGGATGACTTTTTGAAAGCCAAGAGATAAGATGATGGAAGATGAAGAAGTTAAAATCAATTTGAATATATTGACAAAAGGTAAAGCTAAATTGGGTCCGACATATAAGTCAATAAAATAACAGTGTATATGACATACATATGTATATGGTATTCATACATGTGGTAAAAGAGTTATCAACTGAGTAACTTTGTTACTTAAGTTGTTGATTGTGTGCTTAGTTAGCAATGATAAGACAATGACAAGGCAAGAATGAGGGAGGTAGCTTCATTCCAGTCGTAGGATCCTCAATGGACCACCTCCAGTGAGAGGTGCCATGGAGACGATTTTTGCCCCACATGTATGGGCTTGTATCTTCACCAAACAACACAAGGGAACCTTGTTAGGGAGAGAAACATGAGAGAGAGAATATTCTAGTGAGCGATTGAGAGCCAGAAGAGAGTTGGTACTGTATAGGGATCGGGGTGATGACTTCATTAGGTAATTGGTGGGTGAATGTCCAATTGGAGTATTCATCTACGGATTAACTGCGAATATAATTTAGTGGCTACCGGATGCAGATGGGATGGGATGGGATGTAGATGGTTGGTAGGTGGCCGCCGGAGACTTTAAATTCTAATTACATTTTGGAAGGTTTGGGTGCGATTTGGAGGGCCTCCATGGAGTTTATTGGTGCTCATAACGACCCAAGAGTTCCCATCTATGAGAGTCTTGATATATTTTTAATATTTTCCAGCATGAAATGGAGGCGCATTTTTTGGAGCCCTAGGGCAGAGTTGTTCCCTTTTTGTTGGGTAATAGAAGATTTTGGAGCCCTAGGACACAGTTGGTCAAAATTTGAGATCCAACATTTAATTAATTAATTGCAAGAGGAGGAGGGGGTATATCATAGACAAGGTTAGGAATTGGTGATAAGGCATAGGGTGGAAGAGGGGAGCACTGCTTTGGATTTAGAATTGAAGAAAATTTAGTTCAAATTTTGTACTACATTCCCTCCAATTCTAAGTCCAAGGCCCGATATTTAAGAAGTGAAATAGAGAGGAAGAAATAGAGAGGTGCATTTCGACAATTAGATTCTCGATACTGGTTAATGGATCTCCAATGAGGTTATTCTCCATTTGGAAAGGATTGAGGCATTGGAATTATTTTGTCCTTAATAAGAGGATTAGGGTTTGTGTAAATATTGTGCATGCATGATTCACACCCTCGTTTGGTGCCATCTAATGATACCAAAAAAAAAAAAAAAAAAAACAAATTGTTATTTGATTGAATATTGATACTTGTTGGAAAATTAAACCAAATTCATGAACCAACTCAAATGTGGACTACATGAACCAACTCTTATATGGAATACATGAACTATCTCATTAGGAGATGAAATACTTATGTTAAAGTTAGTATTTTATTTCTTGTCTTATCTTTTGTGTCTTTCTAGAGTCATGTATTGGTGCCTATAAATACATGTTTTTGAATTCTTTTGTAAGCAAGAAGTGAGAAAGAAAATATATTAGAATTTGAGAGTTTTATATAAAAGTTGTGTGTGTTCTCCTTCTTCATATTGAGTGCCTCTTACAAATTGATATCAGAGCCTCTTACAAATTGGTATTAGAGCCTCTTACAAATTGATATCAAAGCCTCAATGATTCTATGAATATGAAAGTATGAAAGGTGGAGTGATTTTGAAGCGTGAAGTAAAATAAAATTTGGCTCGTGAAAAATCAATTCAAAGAAGACTCAAGGAGGAGGTCCAAAGATCGAAAAAAAATGAATGAAAATTTGATTCTCCCAAATTATGCCTATTGGAGCAATATCATTTCGATTTATCTTAAAGCATGTGATTAATGGCACAATGTCATAAAAAATCCAAAAAGTTGTCAGCAAAACAAAGTTTCGAAAAAGAAAGAAGAAGTGGTACTCAAGATATTGAAGAATGCAATTCATGAAGAAGTTTGGAAACATGTTGAAAATTTGAATTCTCCAATTCAGGTATGGCAAAAGCTTGAATTTATGTCTTCATCTAATTATAAATTCAAATCATATCCACTGAATATTGGCTCCCAAATTACAATGAAGATGGATTTTTGGAAAAAATTCTTTGTGAAGATGAAAATGAAGAGAATTTTGATGAGATGGAAGAAAAAGAAGATTTTGAAATGGTGGAATGTATGAATATAGAATTTGATGAAAAAAGCAGAAAGATGCAAGATGAGAAAATGGTGACTGTGGAGTTTAAAAAAAAGAAGGAATAGAAGGAGTTGATATTGATGAAGAAAAAACATTCAAAGATGAAAATGAGAAAGAAGAAAAATTAGATATTGGAGACACTGAAGTAGTCACGAAAGAAGAAATCATATGAGTTGAATTTGGTGAAGAAAACAAATGGTTTGAAATTTTGCATGAAACAACATACTCAATTTCAGAAGAAACGGAATATGTTCAATTGGATGATGTTATAGTTACAGAAAAATTGAAGAACGTTTGTATAGAATATTTCTCAAGTGATATGACATAGGTGAACATTGAAGCGTTCTTTGATTTAAATGAGCAAGTCAAAAGTAAATTCAAGAAGTGTGGAAATTTTCAAGTGAATCTTAAGAACAACATTGGAAATTAGTTTCAAGGTTAGGTGAAGAAAAGTACTAGAAGCATGAAGAAGACAAGATACAAAACTTGCACTTCAAAGGAGATTGCAAATAAGATTTTTGCATTTGAAAGCATTGGAAATTTGATGCATATAACGGTTATAAGGCTCAATATAATGTTTGTGGGGAAGATTCAATCCCTTATGAATTGCAAAGAAGAAAAGTGGAAGAAAGCAATGAATGAATAAATCAAAGCTATTGAAAAGAATGGCACATGGGAGTTGGTTAATCTGTCATCAAACAAAAAAGAAATCAAAGCTATTGAAAAGAATGGCATATGGGAGTTGGTTAATCTATGTCAAACAAAAAGACTCTTGGTGGAATTTTATTCAAGAAGAATCTTGCAAAGTTGAGAATGAAAAGCAAATTTGGTTTACGGGAGGCATTGTTGGAAAATTAAACCAACTCAAGTGTGGAATACATGAACCAACTCATATGTGGAATACATGAACTATCTCATTAGGAGATGAAACACTTTTGTTAAAGTTAGTGTTTTATTTCTTGTCTTATCGTTTGTGTCTTTCTAGAGTCATGTATTGGTGCCTATAAATACATTCTTGAATTCTTTTGTAAGCAAGAAGTGAGAAAGAAAATATATCAGAATTTGAGAGTTTTATATAAAAGTTGTGTATGTTCTCCTTCTTCATAATTAGTGCCTCCTATAATACTTGGCATGAAACAATGTACTAGAAAAAAAGGTATATAGTGCACAATAGTAGCCAAATATTTTCTTTTGTGACCTCATTTTGACTTAATTTAATTTATTTACTGGATTAGTCCGCTTCCATGCGTTCGAGAAGGCTCATAGGATGGATCGGAAATCAAGTGGACGTGGTGTCCGCCAGTTCAAGACTTATCTGATACATAGACTAGAATAGGTAGACCCGAAAATCATTTCTTGTCCTCTGAAAATTGCTTTGTTCTTTCAAATGTTGATTTATATTTTTGCATTTTATCTTTTTAATATTTGGTATTCCTGTTTAAGACTTATTAATATATATATATATATATATATATATATATATATATATATATATATCTTGAATGACTCATTAATTAATTAATTTGTTTTTTTTGAAAGTTAAAGCAATTACTCACACACCCTACCGAGGTTCAAACCCTCGACCTCCCCTTTGGGGAGAAAGAGGTGATACCGCTGGACCATGTGATCCTTTGGTCTCATTAATATCGTTATGTTCAGCTATTCATAATTATATTTCTAATAATTATGCTAAGATATTTATACATTCTAGTTTCTACCAGTTGTATTAGGTGTTTGAGGTTGTTTATTGCATGGAATAATACATCAGTGGTAGGTTTGATCTTTTTCTCTTTACTGTCTTATTGATAGACGAGTAGCCCTTTGAACAAATGCATGGAATTTTCTTTTCTATCTCTCATTCACCATTTCACTTATATTTGACTAATGACAACTGACCTATATATAAACT